AAAAAAAAAAAAAAAAAAAAAAAAAAAGCCCACAAGTCTGAGTCTAGTCATGTATTTGGGTGAGTAGGACAGGTGTGGGACAGGTGTGGAAGGGGTGGGTCACAGTGTCAAATAGGGAAAAAGAAAGCCCAGAAAAAAAAACATTCCATAATTTAAGAAAAAGGAGGAAAGTGTGCTTCCCACCCATCGTGACAGGTCCAGGAGGGGTGTCATATGTTAGGCTCTGATTGTCTGAATATGGCTGTGGGCATTGACCAGTAACATCACGCTGTCGACCGTCCTTCGCACCTAATGTGGCACCGACGTTCACGCACCTGCCTTCAAGATGGTGGGCATGAACTCACCACATGATCATGATTTATTTTATTTTAGAAGGGCGATGCTGGCTTGCTGTTTGCACGCCAGTTATCACATGTATTCAGCACATTTTGTCCTCCGCGAGAGTAAAGCCTCACAATTTGTGCTACATTGCGTATGAATGAATGATATTTTATTTTATTTATTTAGTTTTTGATACAAAAAAACAATATCACTTTTATTACTTGAAGGAGGTCGGGAATCCCTACACAAACAACCCGAAGACAAAGGTACTGGGACCATTATTTAGCTTCGGTGAAGGCGCTGGGAAGTAGTCCAATGGCAGAAATGGCCAACACAAGACGGCTGCATGATCAAGATTACAAGTATTTCAAAAAAAAAAAAAAAAAAAAAAAAAGTATTTCAACCTGTAGAGACAACAAACAGTGTTATCCAATCCTCGATAATGCAAAAGAGACAATGGAAACTCTGACACCACACTTCGTGCCGGCACACGGACAACTAATAAAGTAGATAGTTCCGCTCCAGCAAATTTGTTCATAAATTTCATGCTCTCTTCTCACCCGGGATTACATTTTTTTTTTATTAGTTCTATCCATCTCCAGGGACCCAAGGACTCGAAAAATCAAAATAACGAAATTCTTGAGTCATTTCAAGAGGCTCAGAAATCACACGTTTCTCTGAATCATCGTATCGTTAGAAACAGGAATCGTAACTGCAAGGATTTAGGGCGTGGCCAAATCACGGCAGAGGAAACGAAAAATGAAACGACTGAATTTTCAACAGAAAATGGCCAAGTTCATCGGTTTGATATAAATAGTAACTAAGCAACTAAACCTGAAAAAAAAAAAAAAAAAATGTACGTACGTTCTATTCGAATTACATCTGGAAATCCAGTTTAGCTTGTTTTTTTCCTGAATAGAATGTATGTTCGAATATAACCTACTTATGCTGTAGTCGAATACAATGTACACATGTTGTTGTGTATTTGAATTTTCACAATTTCGGATTTTAAAAAATAATCAGAAAATTCCAGGAACAAAAATGTTGTACACTTTTGCCTGAGGGTCCTGTCGAAATTCACTACCAAATTCGAGAGAGAAAAAAAAGACAGAGGATAAAAATATTTTTTTACAGCAGGGATATTTTGTAACTTTTTGTTTACTGATTTTTTCAGAATTTTGATTTACAAAAACAAATTTTAAAACATCCAAAGAAAAAGTATGCTCTACAAAATTGCAATGCAAACAACTTTTGCCTTAAGGTCTTGGTGAAACTCCCAACTAAACTCAAGAAAACAAATAAAAACAATGGTGGTACTACTGACTTCTGAAAAGTTGTACCCTAAAACTCGTTATATAACGGACGTAGTACGTACATTGTAATCGAAATTTCGAATACAATGTACCCAGTACGTTGTATTC